TAAGCAAACATTCTTAACATGAAGATATTGCATAATTTTGTTTTATGTAGTAACTTCCATGTACGTGACAATTGGTGAAAATTATCTGTGCTATGAAAAGGCTCACATTGTGGTGTCAGCAAGACTAGAAAAAGTAAATGGGATGAAAAAAACTTTTGCTTCTATTTTAAGATGACAGGATCACTAGCAAAACAACAAAGCAAGAAGGGGTCTTGTATATCCTGGAGAAAAGAAACCTTTACTCCAGCGATTGCCCACTAGAGATCATGAAAGGATACTCACATTTTCTGATCAAAATATATGCGAAAAGCAGTAAGGGAAAAGCTCTACTGTGAGAAGCCATGAAGAGTTTTACTTACTAAGAAGATATCCTTTGCACACATGCACACAAAATTAGCAGAGCAGAAGCACAGCCACTGCCTGTTTCTTGGATGCCGATTGATTTTTAGGTAGGGAGTGTTTGCAAGGTTCAAAGGGAACATGCTAAAAGGAGGTTTCTGAGAAAAGCATGTAATATCTATTATTGATTGTGATAGCTGTAGGAAGACGTTTTGTGCTACCATGGACTTGAAGTGCACTTTATATTTTGCAGTTGTGATCCTGAGTAGTCTGAGTAAACTCTTGAAAACTTGGATGAGGAAGACACTTCTTTCAGCTGTTGTTTGGTGGAAATTGGAGAATGGAAGAGTATTTCTCAGGCTTCTTTACAATTTTCGTTCATACATGTACCCATAAATCAAACTATGGAAAATCCCTGCAATTAGTGACTATACTGTTCCAGTGGTACTTGATGCTTGAATGGTGAATAGGAGTAGGGCCAGGCAACATTTCACCATGCTTCCTCATAGAAATACCTTACAAATTGCCCATAGCAAATACAATAATTTCATTTCTTTTGAGAGGTGCCTACAGTGAAATAGCATTATTTGTGCTTTGAGGTTTTCCCAACTTGAAGTGTCTTTATAGAAAAACTGCTATTTGCTATTGAATTTCATCTTCATCTTAATAGGATTGCAGTATTTCCTATGCAGTCTCAGTTTATGGATGGGGTCATGCCTCAGAGCCCCCTTTCAAAGCACAGCCTTAAAATTGTTCCTTTGGGTACCTCACCAGGAGCAGAACATGAACATGGGTCTATGAAGAGAGGGCCTGTGGCTCCCAGCCAGCCCAGTAACCCTTCACATCTCAGCCTCTCTGCAGGATGGTGCCCAAGGAATTAAGCACTTGCCAGTTCAGCTGCTCTCCCCTGCAAACCTCCAGAGTAAACAAGGTCTTAGCTTCCAGAGCAGCAAGATCCCTAACAGCAAGGCCAGGGTGACACATTAGTCAAGAGACAGAGTTAAAAATAATCACTCTGAAGAGACACCTATTGTGGAAATACAATATTGTTTGAGATGTTGGCTTCACGCACATGAAATTTTCTCTGCCACAAAACTGGTAAGGACCTGCTTAAGCACTGAATCACTACTTATTTCATCAGCTACTTGTGTGCTGTGTTGTGGTGTGACTTATGCATGGGTGGGTTGATCCCAGCTGCGGGTTGGGGCTGAATGAAACAAGAGCTGCCATCAAGTAAGATTCTAAGTAAAAAGCAAAGATGGGACAACAAGAAGAGGAACAAGGGTTAGGGAAGGAGTGTGTGTACTGACTGTTCCACCTTGCTGGCTCTGATAGCTCCCTACTGCACATCTGCTCTTTCTCCCCACAACTCATCCTCAACCACGAGTGTTTCCCCCTGCAGACATGCACTTCAGACAGAGCATCTCGGCTGGGCAGCACAGAGAGCTTGGCTCTCCTTTGCAGAAGGTGTAGTTGCTCCCGCTGTCTGTGCCCCCCCACCCAAAGGGACATGGCAACAGCCCCCTTCCCTCTACTCTCTTCCTGGTGGACCTGGGGGCCTCAGTCATGTGTCCTGCCATGCCCCCCCTAAAATCCCCTGGCGCCGCCCTCAACTCCTGCTCCCTGCCCTGATGAATGGCTTTCTAATAGAGCCTCCGTTCTCCTACCCTACTCCTCCTTTTTTAAATCCTGCTCACCAGTACTGCTGACGTCCGTTGGCCCACCTCTTGACTCCCCCTCCCTGCTTCAAGTCTACTTCCCTCCAGTATAAAAGGCACATGGCCCCATCAGCTGCCCTGCTTCTGCTTGGAGCAGCGACTAGCTTGGAAGCAGCTTTGGTGCACACAGGTGAGTGCCTTCCCCTGTCGGCTTCAGTGCTTGTCCAGGCTCTTTCTTACTGAATATCCTTTTTTTCTTTTTGAGCTTTAACTTACCTAGGTTAACATACACAGCTGTGCCCTGTGCTCAGTGACTTTTGCCCAGTTTTTGTTAGCGAAGCAGCCTGTGCCGCGGCAGGGTGGCTGACCCCGCGGGCAGTGCTGTGCCCTGCAGGGAGAGCACGGGCAGGACTCTGCAGCACCGCCCTGCACCTCTCCGGCCGCTCGGCCCCGAAACCAGCCTGGTCCTGCGCCCAGCCGGATCCCATCCCTCGGGTGTGCTTCCAGCGCTGCTTTCGAACAGGAAAGCTTTTCACATTTGTGTCGGAGGGGGTGTACACATTCGCTGATCTCAAGAAAGATGCTGGTTTAGGGTGTAAAAACTTAATAGCCCCTTGTCTTCTGAGAACACCTGTGGTAGGGGTATATCTGATGGATCTGCAGCAGAGCTTGAGTTTGGTGTGATAAGAGCCCCTGCGTACCCAGAGGGAGAGTCAGCCTGGTCTACTCCTTGTGAAACAGACCCATGGCAAGCTGTGATACTGCTGCTTCACCATAACTTTGTTTGTGGCTTTAATTTTCCCCTTTCATGTCGATGAAAGTTGCCAGACTTCTGTCACAGATGTTGCTCAGAATTTAAAGACATTGCTTGGGCACCAAGCAGAAGTGGCAAGTTGATAAAATGACAGTGGTACTGAATTTTGCTGAGCTCCAGAAGCAAAATTATTCCGGAAACTTTTAATCGTGTCAAGTTTTGTTGCAACTAGTCAGTTTTAAAATTTTTATGATTATTTAATGGCTGAAAAGGGAGGCACACAGCTTGATTATGTGAGGTCTTGTTCTTTTTCAATTTTCTTTTGGGAAGAAAGCTGCAGCTGTGGACCTGAGGAGATCACAGACCATCTCATCCACATGACTCTTGAAAGGACTGTGCATAGGTAACCAGGCTTTTTGCTTAAGGACAAGATGGAGCTGGGTGTCAGAAATGCTCAGGGTCAAGTTTATGGCACTACCTCAGTCTCTGTTTCTTTCCATATCAACAGTGGTGGGACAATTAGGTGTAGGAAAAATTAGGGAGGATTAGAGATGCTGAGCGCCCTGATTATTTAGGGTGGCATATTACTTACTGAGGAGTGGTGGAAGTGATGTGCTTCACAGAAACCCTAGCTAAAAGGGTATGAACAAAAAGTTAAATACATATCAGTGCCGTAGAAAGTGGCTGCAGTGGCACAGGACCAGCTGGTGGGGACTGAAGCACAGCAGTGCTTAGGAAAAAGTGTGTGCTAAAAGCTTTCCCCTGCATTTTTGTCTTTCATCAACAATGAGCTCAAGGCAAGCTCTTGTTTCTGTAACTCGGTTCAAAAAAAAAAAAAATCAAGACACAAAACCAGGGAGCAAGTAACCTGGAAAACCTGTCAGCAGCCCTGTAAACATACCACAGAGATGCCTTCAAAACACTTTCTTTTTGTCTCACTAAACCTAAGGTTTTGCTAAAAATGGAGCAAAAGGAGAGGTATACCAGCTGAAACTGAAGGCAGAATTCACCCCGTGTGGGTGAATTCTACATGCTAAGATAATTTAGTCCTAATTGTCGTGAGATTGTCATGAGATATTCAAGTTAGAAAAAGTTAATTTGCAGTTCTGAAATAATGAGTTAAAATCACTTTCCTCTATGCTGCCTGGTAAGCATCTGGTAAGCATCAGTGTGGGAAAAAGCCCTTGAGAAACCTTCACTGAATACTAGGGGTGAAGGAGCTTTAGACTGCATTTTAGTGAAAGACACAACCAACTTCATCATGTGTTTTTGCTCTGTTGCCTGTTTGGTGTGATTGGGAGCATCTTGCATCAAAGCTTTTCATTCCTGCTCTGCCTGTACTGAAAGCAGGCTAAGATTTTGGCAGCAACTTGGGAAAAATTGCACATTTACACAAAGAAAAACTGCTGTGTAGGCACAGCTGAAAGGTTTTCCTACAGCCTCTGCGCCTGTATATCTACATTGCTTACATGATACTTAAGCAAATAGGCTCCTGCTCTATAGGCAGAGGCTTCAGGATGTCAAATGTAGAGACAGACCTTGCATATCACAAGACAGACTGTCCTGGTGTGACAGCTGGGAGAGCTGTCATGAGGAAGCTTGTACAAAATGCCAGAGACAGTGGTAACTGGAGCCTGGCTCCCTCCCCTTTCTGGATGCAATTTTCCCAGCTCAGCACCTTCTGTTCTGCCCATCCTATCCTATGGAAGCTGGGAGAGGTTTCTCATTCTGTTGCATCTGGGTGCGTTTACAGGACAGGGACATCTACCAGTGGAAACTATAACTGGAAATTTTAATTTTGCACATTGGAAAAAAAAAAAGATATGATGGAACAAGAGGAACATTGCCATTTATACTGAAATGCATTTAGTTGTAAAAAGAGTATGTAAACCACAAATGTTGGACACATTTTTTGGCCAATGCCCCGGGTCATACAGAGAGCTATACAGAATCCGCAGTGAATTCAGGATCAGGACTCGAGCATCCTGTGAAAGCTTTCACTGCTGGAGAGAAAACCTCTCCAGTGTTTATCTCAGTATATGGCCCATTTCATAGCCTTTGCCTTCAAACAGAAATGCCCAGGACATCCCCAGCATGAGTGTTCCACAGAACTCAGAGCCATGAAATGGCTCTGATGGATGGGAACATACTGTTAAAGTTGACACATTCTTTCACCTTGAGAACTTTTAACTCATATGTGTTCCCCATGTTCGCTCTTCTCCTTACAGCCTTCCCACCACTGCTCCGTCATGTGGCATCCAATCTCCTGGACACCACGTGCCCAGTGGTCACCAAACCACTTAAAGCTAGTCACTGTGTATGTTCTGATGCTCTTGGTGTCGCTCAGCTTTGTGTCGGGACAGAGCAGGCCATTTAAACATCAGATAGACAACAGAAGTAAGTATGAGTCTCACTTGACATGGTGACCACAGTGTGTCTCTGCTGCACTGAGGGATCAGGTCTGGGCTGTTAGGCAAAATTCAAGAGGAGATCACACAGGTGTTTCTGTGGTGTCACCTTAGTGTGAGGCCCTATACTTCTATTTGCACTTGTCAGTGCATATACAGAACCTCATGTCCTTCTCACAGTCTTTAATTAGCCAAGGCAAATAGCATTATTTTTGATAAATATCAGAGAAGACACTAATGTGCAAAGGACAGACAAGAAAATGTAAAGAGGTATACATCAAATATTTAAGCAACAAATTTTCAGCTGTGTTCTGCAGACCTACACAACTACTTCTATATAATAAAAAGAAAGCCATGGCCCAGAAGCTTAAGTTAGGTTCACTTTACAGAGAACTTCAATTCTGGCTGGGACTGTGAGTTATCTGAAAGTCCAAATACAAGTGGCTAATCTCCATTCAGAGATGCTGTGAAGAGCTGAGAGTATCCAGGTCAGGGATGATACCATGTATCTGAACTTTAAACTAGTACACAATCCAAAAGACCTTTGAGAAAATCAACAAGAAGTCTCATTTTCTCCCAGGGATCATAGACTGATACTGGTAGGTGGAGTGGGAGAGAGGGGTTATAGAGAGTAAGGTGTGTAGGCTCAGTACCACACCTCTCCCCATTAAAGAGAATGAGATGTTAGGAACCTCAGGTTTTAGGTACACAGGTGAAAGTTTCTTGGGTTTTGTTGAGTAGGAAGGCTGCTAACACTGTGATGAAAGACTTAAGAGATATATTTATGGAGAAATTTAAAGGCAAGGTGAATTTTTTCCTCTGTTCAAGAATCAGAATGCACAGGAGAATATCCTCCTACCTTAACTGAGAATTTCATGGACAAAGATGATATATAATGCACTTAAATTGTAATTTATTCGTGTTCCTGACAGTTGTCTGTCTCTGGGATTTGAGATTTCCTTAGGGTGGTATCATCTCCAGTGTATTTTAGAATTTCCCCGCTGCTATATCTTTTAATATATTGTCTTTAATACTTTTAGAATAATCTTAATTTTATAGTCTTTTAATAGAACCATAACCCTCAGCAGACCTGCCCCAAAACTGCACTAGACCACAAAAATAAGTAGTGTGTCAGAGCTTTAAAAGAAAAAAAAAGTCATCCGTGAAAACAACTTCCTAAGTGAGCAAGAATTAACTTTTCATGTTTACCTCTCATGTAGGAACCCCCTCTGCAATCCATTGGATTTGTTAGCCTGTAGAAATAGTGTGCCTACTGCAGAAAATTTGGAGGGACCCTTTGGCTCATGTTAGAAATGCGGGTTGCAGCCCAGGTGATTGAAGAGGTTGAATCCTCTTCCTTTGGGCTCTACACATGGAAAGTAACCCTCAAAGGCACCACTAAGCTGTGTCTGGCTGTGGTCTTTCCCTTTTTTTTTCCTCCTGGGCTCCAAATAAGTTGTCTAACATCCTCAAGATGTTCAGGAAACACTGCCTCCTAGTGCAGTGGTACATCCTCACTGCATGCTTTGAATTCCAGGCCCTGAGATCGACCCTTTTTGGTATGTAGGCCGTGGTGTTCGCCCCATCGGTCGCTTTGGGAAGAGGCAGCTGAGAAGCAGCCGTGGCAGCCTGAGGCCTGTGAGCAGACACCTGGATTTCATCTTGAATGCTTTGTGGGAGCAAAAATCATTGGACACAGAGGATGGTGATTGGTGATCTCTGTGCCCCAAGGTGGTGACCCAACCTCTGTGCTTTGAATTGTGCCCTCCCCTGCACCTCAGACCTACAGTTCTGCTTTGCCTAGCAATCCCACACTGCTCTTCTTTCTGCTCCTTATGCAACTACCTTCAAAAAGAAACATGTTCAGGGTGCAGGTAAAAGACAATGGACACCAGCACTGTGTGCCACCATTGCTTATAAGAATGTTTCCTCATTGTGCATCCCCATCAATCTCCTGATCCTGTTCACTGGGTTCACTGTTAGGTTTATCTAAAACCCATACAGCTTCTGGGCTGGGTTTTAAACTCTGCAGTATTAAATGTATCATGAAACCTTCCTGTCACATTTCAAAGTCAATGGCTGTTGATATGTAAAAATAAAAAGCAATGGCTGGAAGAAAGAAAAAAGGCTCTTCCCAATTTTTCATGTACCTGCATTAATGGCACAAAATGCTGGTTCTCTGTGTGTAGCTTTTATAGAGGTTGTTAACATCCACTCTTAAGAATGTCTCCCTGAAGTACCCACTGGCCTTCAGAATTCTTCCTGTACTGCTGAAGCGATATATTAATTAACAAAGAGGAGCTCCTATTGAAGATAAGTATTTTCTCCCTGCTGAAGAAAAAAAAATTGGCTAATTGAACTCCTTGAAGTAGTTTTGTGCCTACTGCATATAATCACACACCATAGTCCAAAAGGAGCAAGGGCCTGAATGAGCTGATCCCTTTTAAAAAAATGCCATTATTTCCAAGTACATTGTTTGAGCAAGCTAAAGTCACTCTTTGAGGATCACAAGCCATGTATCATCTATTCCATTAGTCCACATCAATAAGCCTGGAGATGCAGCTCAATATCCCTATTTACTCATGTTAATATAGCTTTGTTATATTACTTTTATAAGAAGTGTTCCTTACAATGTATTTAATCTTGATTAATAACTACTACCAGGAATAATACAGTTTAATCTATGGCTTATATCCAAAAAAGACAGTTTACAATTTAGGTAATAACTGATGGTTAAATTCAGGCCATGAATCATTCTGCAAAGGCTAAACTTGAATAGACTTCCACTTCTAGTTGTGCTTTGTGAGAATTACTACTAAAATTGAATAATGGTTGAATTAACCATTGTAGACATTTTAACCCTTCTTTCTCATTTTGCAAATGGCCTGTGAGCAGGGATGGGTTTTTATTATAATAAGGAAGTTACTTCCATTTATAATACAACAAAGCTGCTGACCCAAAGTGCTACTTAAAACACACTAATTTTACTGAATGCTTTCATGGTGGAGAAGATATGCTGATAAATATTTTGATCCGCATTCATTGCAAGGAACTTTGGAAGTACGAGACCAAGATTATTGGCAGGGTTCTTGCTCATTTTTTATAGTGATCCCAGAGAGAAATGAAGAAATTCTGCCTGAGAAACTGTGCTTGAGATGGCATTTCACCCAACAGAATCGATGGTTTAGGGAAGACTCATCAGCAAGTGTTCCTGACAGGATTCCTCCCACCCCAGCCCTAGAGGAGGAGGAGGTGTGAACCAAGAATGTGCCCTTGCCCTTGGTGAACCCTGGCACCCCTGTGGAGATGCCCATGTCCTGTGTGTGACGGTGTCATGTGTGTGGCTGTGGGTTCTGCACGCTTCTGGGCCAAACTGCACATAAATCCAAACAACAGAGAAGAGCTTTTTTGTTTTCTTTATGAATCAAGTCGTTGAAAAGGCATTCTTTTCATAAATCGCTTTTACTCTTTTATAATTTCTCTTGACAATAATTCTTGGTGAGTATGCAGATAACAACAACAAGGCAAGCTTAATATTCACTCAGACTTAATCAAATAGGTCATATAGTCTTAATTTTACCCATTAAAATATTTTCATTTATAAAAATTAATCTAAATATAAATATTAACACTAAAGATTGGAATCACCTGATGACAAAATAATTCTTTGTGTGCTATAACATATGTTTTTATGATTTTTTTAAAACAGTAAATTATATCTTTGCACGTATTTGGCACGATAAACATTTGTAAAAATTCAAATGCCTTAGAGCAGGTGGGATTTTTTTTAAGCTTTTTTTTTTTTTTTTGCAATGCCTACACAGTACACATTTGTCTGTCAAAGAAGACTGAATATTTTGACATTGTAACACTATAATAGTTGCTTTTCATGCCTCTTAAGGAAAACAACCTACTCCAAACTTTGTTGGCTTGTTTAAATCACACTAACAGAACAAAAGCCAAAGAGTTATTCTATTAAAATTAGTAATTTATGTATTGATATTACATACACAATATTAGTTATTATTTATTGGACGAATATGCAGACCAACCACCATTAATGACATTTCATAACACGCATACCTGCATAAACCAGAACCTGGGAATGTATTGTATACATACACAAGAACAGTCAATGGAGGAGGAGATTGAATAATAAAAAAATTGCTAGGCATCCTACTCTTTTTAATCTCCTTTACTGGACTGCATATATAAATAAAATCTATTTGTTTAATATATATATTTATATATTAAACAGAGTGGGCCAAATTCTTCCTTCACATGTGTGCAAACCAATTTCAGAGAATTAGTATTGTGAGAGTAAAAGAAGGCCTAATTTCAACCAGAATGAACACATTGGGCCAGATCTTGGGCAGATGGAAATTCCTTGAAGGAATGGAGTGACACTCGTGTATTTTAAGTGGGAAGATGGTTGTATTCATTCCAAGGATTCCTCACATGCAGCTGGACATCAGAGTACTGACAAGCTAGATGTCAAATGTAGATGGCAGATTTGCAACTGGCACTATTCTTCCAATCAACCCATCCAGCCATTCCTTGTCTTTCCCACTCACCCCCTTAAATCCAGCCTAGTCAGGAAATTTGCCCAGTTTTGCTTGTATTTGCCCAACCACAGATATTTCACAGCCTGGTGTCCCAGGGAATTGCTTTCCTGCTGCATGGCAGGTAACATGTGAGACTCTGCTCATAGGTGCTCACTGGGAGCCCAGGAAAAGAAGGAACTGTCTTCCTTCCTGATGCCCACAGCTCTTGGGAGAGCTCACCACTCCTTAATGCTGAGGGGAACGTACCAGCCCATGCGTTCTTTCATAGCACATTTCACATCAACCCCATCTGAACTTGGTTACCTGCTCTGCAACTGATGTGGAAGGTAGGGGATTCACTGGCTTATCACCTCCTCTGACTACCTTCTTTGTATTCTTCAGAGCAAAAAAAATTGGCAATGTTCTCCCACAAAACGGTGAGAGGGACACCCTGTAAGCAGCATCCTTCCTCCTGGGCATCTGCCAAAGGGCCTTCTAGTTTGACTCACCTGTTAAGGGTCTCAGGAAGTGAAAGAAGGAATATCACTATTCACAATCCAATTCAGAGTTGTCCAGTAGTAGTAGGGTGCATGTGGTGCAGCAACAGGGCCCAGCTACTCTGGTGGCTCCAGACTAGTACAGGAACTGATGTCTGGGCTACATTTGCCTCCTTTTCAGAAACACCAGTGAACATCAGAAAGGAATCTCTTGCAAGCTGCAGCTACCCCACAACCAGCATCAGTCAGCAGAGATCTCATCTGCAATGCTTTCACCTCCTTTTTCCAATCTAAAAGGTTTGGACAATTTATTCTGAACTACAGCACGGTTGGCAACCACCAAGTGGAAATGCCGCCAAGAACAAGACATATGAAGGTGTTGGTTTCTATAACAGTGTTCAGATGTTTCCAGACACTGGGATCGTAACTCAGCAGACATCTGGTCCACATGTGTGGCCACCAGTTCCTGGTTCAGCATGACAGCCTTGCTGCCTGGAGCAATATCCCTAGCTCTGGAGCTGGAACATTCAATCTGCGAGATGCACTCTCAGAGAACAGAGAAGTCTTCCTCCTCTCACCAACCCTCCCAAGACTTCCACTGACTCCCTGGGAGCAGAGTGAGGTACACAGATTCTCCTCTCCCTCCACGCAGCTGAAAAGTAGCACACACTGCACAGAGTTGTTCTTATTGCTCAACAAGACAGATGCCCACCTGAATAGTAAGAGGCCAGCAAATATGGATCACAGGTCTGCTTTGGCAGATTAATTGCCCTATAATTATGACTGATTGAGTGTACAAAAACATACTGCAGTTTAAAGACAACATACTTTAGTACAATCAATAGGGAGAAAAAGTGCATCTTAAAATGTGGAGCCTTGCTTTTGAGACATAGCATCCTGTCTAGAGTCCTCTGAGAACTTTAAGGCAGAGTTTCCTGTAGCAGACCACAATGCTGAAGACTTGGACAGCTTTCTCAGTGAGGTATCCAAATGAAGCCCTATAACTGAGGCTCTGTGGGTTCTTGAGCGTCCATTTTCAGCTGGACATACACAATGGCTGTTAAGAAAAGGCACTCTAGTGTACAGCCTTAGGCAGTGTGTTATTGGCAGTAGGGAAGTGTAGGTTTAGTACATCACAGCAGATCCTATAGCAGGTTCCTAGAACAGAGAAGGACAGGAAAGAAAAAAACATGAGTGAAGGACTAAACAAACCTGCTGAAGAACACAGCTGGGTCCTTTCCCTTCTCACCTCCCCAAGTATTTCCCACATATCCTGTGGCAGACTGCTTTGGGACAGTCAGCTTTTTCCCTTATCCCCCTATGGCTGCTGTAGAAGAAATGACTGACAGCTGTCGTGAGTGAAGCCTCTTTGTTCAAACCCTGCAGAGCCAATGTGTGACCTGTCTAGCCCTTAAATTCCATTTAGACAAGCTTTGACCATTTCTCAAAAATTAGTGAAATTCAAGGTGACTCTCACCTGCCAAGTTATAATGTACAGCTGGTTCTGGGGGGTCTGGTTCAGAAGTCTGAAATGCAGGGGATGACTAATTTATTTATTCTTTAAAAAGTATGGGTACACATTCCTGGAGACCTGGCAGCCAGGCTACACTATGACAGGCTGACATTCAGGAGCTGCTATTCTATGGCATATAGTCAGACATCTTCCAGGACACTA